TTCAAAGGGGAACCAAAGGCAAAGCCGCTATTTTGGGGTTCCCCCATTTTGAGACAAACTTACATGTGTCGCGGAGGCTCACACATTTCTGCGTTTGCCCCATAGAGTGAGACAAGAAAAGCCGCTGAGCCCGTATTGGTATTGGCAGCATGTTAGAGTGGCCAGAGCAAGAGATTTTTGGGGCTCAGTCAACATGTCAGGTCTATGATGAATTTGAGACGAGGGGAATCGCGAATGTTCCCATGTCCTTTTGGGAAGCAAAGGCATGCCATACCTCACTCAATTTTGCCAGAGGTATCAGCAGGAGTTCATGTTCTCCGAGGTTCACGACGAGGAGGCGTCGGCAAAGCATGCTGGTTCCATGTTGGCTTGGCCATGTAATGCACAAGGAGAGGTGGAAGTTTGCTTGGAAACGATGAGTGGGGGAGGTTTCAGTTTGTTCTGAGTGCCAACACTTTTGTTGTAGGGCTTGTTAATCACACGGCAAGATCCGCCGACGTGGAACGTGAGCCGAACCGAAACGTCAGGCTGATTTCTGGTACGCAGGGTTTGAAAGTAGACAGCGCAAGTCCCCCGGGTTGGTCATTCGCTTTACTTACCCACACTAAGGGAACTGTGCCATCTACTGCCGCACCGATGTAATTGAATCCTGACAACAACCCCAAACTATATTGGGGAAATGGGTCCAGCCTGCTGGTCCGACGGTGCATGCGTGGCGGCCAAGGCACTACCATCCCTTGTTCCATTGCTCAGGAGACCCGTTTGCCGAATTTCTATAAATGGCTTCCAGCTTGCACCAAAGGACAAGGACTGGTCACCCGCATAGCTCTCGTACTTGTTTGGCTCCGGCTCCCTGCGAATTCGGGCGGCCGCAAGAAGCGTTTCTGCCCTGTATCCACGGCCAAACGGGGCTTGGTGCCCGAAAGCCTCGTCCATGTGCAAAAGCTTTTCCCCTGTTGGTTTTAAAGGGAATCCATCACTAAGATTTGATTTTTTCCAGGGGCTTAACCAAATGGAAGTGAGTCCTTTGGAAGCCCGTGTGTTTGAATCGCTGCTTTGATTCCCACTAGAAAATGACAGGAATTGGTTCGTTTGTTCCGCGCGTTCTCGGGTCGAGGGAGCGTTGTGTTTGCTTGCCCTTGCAGCATGAGCAAAAGAGGGAAGTTGCAAGTGCGTCACAGTCGCTTATCACAGCCAGATGCAAGTTGCACCACATATGATTCCCTTTGCAGAAAATTGGTTGCTTTTCGTTGTATGTGTTTCCCCGTTTAGTTTAGAGGGAAACTGTGATGACAGGCGCATAGTTGTGAATGCAAGTCGAAAACGCTTTTGAAGATGCAGGCATGACATTTGAGAGAGAGAGAGAGAGCGAGAGAGACCTTTTGATTCAGGGCTTGCGCCTTGGTTCTCATGAGCTTTCTGCATTCGCTTTGGCTACGCTGTTTGGAAGTTTAGACTGAATTGATTCCTACGGTCTCGGAAATGATTAGTCGATGTAAGGTTGACTACACAGAGAATCAAAGATGCAAATGTTGGTGCAATTTCCCGAGAGTTGGATCAATATTTTCTATCAGCCATGATGACCCTCGAATTGTGTCCATGGTGTTCCTTGAACCAGGTTGCCCAGCCGAGCAACCACGCCCCTTGCGACCAACGCTCCGATCCGAGTTGGTGTTGGGATATCGAAAAGCGCCAGGATGCGGATATGCCGCAGGCCAAGGCGTTGGGCGTGGCGAAAGCGCGCGATCGAGGTGTCTCTCGCGTTGGGGGGGCCCATAGGTTTGGGGTTGGAGGAGTTGCGATGTTGAGTTTGAGTCAGGAGGCGACCGCAGTGGCACATTGGGAGCCCATTGATGTCCACCTCATATTTAGAAACCCCCCCCCACCCCCCAAGGTCGTACGGAGGGGGGCCTGTAATTCGAAGCTTCCGGCGGATCCCGGAGATTCCTTACCTGGCTGTGGGTCAGCGCCTTCGTTCAATACGACTTTTTGTGGGGTGCCCTTGAAGCCCTTAGACAGTGAAACTCTAGCGGCTCTTGCGTGCTCCTGAACAAAAGCACGTTGCAGCCGCGGGTGTTGCTTTGAGGGAGTTGCTGCCTTGCCTGTTTCGCTTTCAGTCACGCACTAGGAGCTGAGCTTTTTCTGGGATTTCCTGGGCCAAGCCGGATTGTGCAATTGCGGGGTGGTTTCTAATTACGTTCTAGGATTTGGATTGTGCAAATACGCGGGGGTTTCTAAATATGAGGTCAACATTAGGTGCCTTGCGTAAGTTGTTATCCTGCCCAAGAGGGCTAATTTGCGTGAGGACCAAAGTTCCCTCAAACAACCCAAGCGGAGGGTGATCAAAGACAGCCCCCACCCTTGGGAGCCGGTTCAGTATTTTGGCAACACGCCCATGCTAGTGTTTGTGTTGGGTGGTAGTGCTAGTTTTATTGTTTGTACAAATAATTTGACCTTTGGCCTGCACCCTGGGCCCCAACAAAAAAGGGCACTGGAGACCCCTTTCAGATTCATCTTAAAGAGCCCTTTGATTCTTCATAGGGGCGACATGAACAAGTTGAAGCCTGCATTGCCTTTCTTCTCCATGCCAGGAGGGCTAGACGCAGGACAGCCGGGGCACAGATGTGTTATCGGTGGCGTTTGAGACGTGCCGCTGTTTGGCTGCGTATCAAAACTGATACTGCAACCTCAACAACTCGAATGTGGTGTACTTTCAAGCCAAATTAAGTCACAATCACAAGAGACATGTTTAGCCCCTTATGTTGCGCGCTTTCCAGAAATGAAAAGAGAAGAGAGGATTTGAAAGACCACCTGCATCTTGAAAACAGAGTCTATAACACGTGTTTGTTTCCCTTCACGGAACCACAAGTGTTTGCAAACCAGACAACCATGAGAACTCCTTTGGACCTGCATACCGACCAGTTTGTAGGGTCCAATTGCTTTTACACACAGACCCGTGTCTCCCTTGGCCATGGCTCAACCTGGTTCTTGAGTTCCAGATTTGCTCCAAGGTTTTGTTTAGTGGCTTCTTTGCAAGAGTCCCCAAATAGGCTGAACCATTCTCTATCCGTACCTTTTCCAATCTCTTCAGGGGTCCTTTTCTGGATATGTGCCGCGCTGCAGATGGGCGGTTTCTGAAGCGAAGGACTGGTGAAGAGTATGGGGAACGAACCAATAGAAATTCGACAACTTACCTGTTGCTAAGCGTAGTTCGGCAGATTCGGGTCACATCCAGAGTGAGCCATGCCCCGGCCCACAGCATGTCCATGACAACAGGTTCACAAGCTGTTGCTGGCTCCGATTTTGTAGCAATGACAACCTGCAAGCCTTTCGTTGTCTCAAATGCGGAGCCCCCTTGGCCAGAAGCAATCCAGCTGTCGGTCAATCAGCTTGGCAGCAATGGCTTAGTTCACATTGGCGGCTCATGCTCCTTTGGCGCGCTCGAGATGGCTAGGAGCAGACGCTCCACTGCATGACCTCATGAACCTAGACTGTGCATGACCATCACTCGGAAAAAATGGCGCGCCTTTGGCTGCCTTTGCAACGGATAGTTCGATCCCTGGCAGAGGGGATCCGGATTGCTGGGGAAGCACTATGACGCTGAGAGGTTGATTCCGAGCTCATGCATGAAAGGCTGACTGCTGTTTGGTATTTGGTGTTTGGGAATGAGTATGGGTATCTGTGTATTTGTGTCAAGAAATATGGGGAGCCTCGAAATGGTCATGTTGCTGTTGGTTTCCCTTGAAGCCACCCTGAAAAGGTGCCCTCGGAAAAACACACCTAATACAAGTCCCTTTGAATCATGTGAGAAGGAAAATCCACAGGGCCACGTCCAGTTTTCAGGAGACCCAAAGGGTGCTCGCCGAATGCATGTGCGCATTGCATGCCATTGAGGGTTGGATTGGGACCACTAGTATGTTCTGGCAGCTTTCCCATGGCAAGGGAACTAGTCAGTTTTGGCCTTGCGTGTGGTTTGGCTTGAAGTTTCAAGAATCCACCGGCCGCCAAGCAAAACCAGTGGCCAGAGGGACCAGACTGCCAAAAGAATAGGTAGTCTCACTCCTTAAAAGAGAGGCGCCCAAGTTTGATCCATGAGAAAGTAAACCTTGGCAGCCCATGTTGAAGGTGGGGTGTCTTCTGTTGCCGCCACGAATAGTCGGCGCAGAAAGTTTGGAAGCTCGTTCAAGGTCGCTGCCCTTGAGTTGCCAGTTGTAAATCAAAGGAAACCTACCACGCGCACTAGAATGTTCAACCCACCTGGCAAGTAGGTTGTGAACATTGCTAGATGAGCATTGTCCGAGCTCCATCCATGGTCATACCGACTATGACCTGCCACGACGACCTACTACGCCACCACGACCGCTACTACGGCCACTGAAGCCAATGCTGCAACCACTAGGACAACAAGCACTGAAGCTACCACAAGCATTTAAGCTGCAGCCGGACTGAGAAGGCCCCACATGGAGCACAAGCAAGAACGACAAAGTGATTCCTCGCTTTGCCGACCCGTCACACACACACACACACACCTCGCAATCAAAGCGAAGGAAAACAAAACAAACGAGGCACATGGAGTTTGACGGAGAATCGTGTTCAGGCAGAATCCATGCGAAGGACCATGCCAACTTGTGACATGTCCTTAGTGGTCCAGCCATTAGTGCTCAAGCCAGCCAAAACCATTTTCCCTGTGTGATATTTGCAAGGAGTGAATGTAGAGCATTGGGTTTAAGGCCATCTTCGATACCAAGAAAAGCCCTTCAACACGCTTTTCGGGGTCATGGGGATGGCCCTCTTGGGTATTACACGGTTTTTTCATCATGTGGCAGATGCCGGTGTTTGGGGCCAACCAACAATTCAAGCCTGCAAAGCTGCGCTCGCCTAGGGGGTAAGCATGTTCATCCACAACTGGGTCACCCACCCACTTGGGGATTCCTTAATTCAGGTGTTGAACCCACTCCGCTGTAGATGAACATGGAATGCCATAATTTTCCGATATCTTGGCACTTACTTACATGTATCCAATCCTGCTATGAAGCGAAAAGCGGAGGCCGCACCTTCATCGAAGGCAGAAGTGCCTCGCTGGAGCTTCGATGATTTGACAGCGGACCTTTCCGCTGGTCTCGCGCAATCCAAAGATGTGTCTCTTGAGCAGCTGTCCATGCAGCACTTCCCGCTGACTAGCGGTCTTCAAGAGCGTTCCTTGGAGTTGGCTTTGCGGGCTTCAGGGTCACCAAGGGTGGAAAGTTAGGTTGGTTTTCTTTGGTTTCCTTTCTGGGCGTCTATGAAGGTTCTTGCTTGTTGCAAACATATTACGCTCCCAACAAATATTCCATGTCTTTGTGTTTTTTTGATGGAAGGCTGCTTTCCTCCTGGGATTCAAAGTGTGCTGTGCACTTCCATGTTTATTGCGCCTCTCAAAGGTTTGCGGGAGATCCTCGCTGAAGTGCAGCACGGCACGGGCGCGGCCCTTCTGCAGATGCCTACTGAGCTCCTAGAACAAGGCAGCGAGGGTAGCGGCGAGCGGCGGTTGACCAAGCGCTGACATCCAGAACCGGCTCCTCCCATGGATGACCAGCTTGTGGCACATTTGGATTGGGACAACACGAAGTAAGCTTCCTATAGGCTGGAAATCCAGGAAGCCCAAGAATTCTCGGGTTCGGAGAACCGTCCTTTGATTGGGCCGCTTGGGACTTGTTTCCCCCAAAAGAAACAAGAGGCTTGGTGTGGTTTTCTCCCGTCAGTGGAAAGGCCGGCTCCCGCAACCTGGATATGTGTCCAAGCCAAAAACGCTGGTTCTCCCATTTTGAGTTTCCTTCAAAGGATATCCGCAGCGGTACGTCTCCGCTCCCCTCCCCCACCTGCTCCGCACTGCACACACGCCTGCCCAATTTTGCACACAAGTGCACCCGCTCAGCACTGCGCACGCGCCAGCCAATTGATAAGCATGCCATCAGTTTCGGACCAGACGGCGAGCCTGAACTGTACGAAAGGATGCCCTTTTTAGTTTCTTGGTTCTCCTTTTGGTTAAAAGGATACCCGTCGCCTTGGGTCTCGCGAGGCGAGGAGGCCGCCCAGCGAGCTTTCCTGGGGCTGTGTGCACATTTGGGGCGCCCGGTAAGGCAGTCCACCGATTTGGAGGAGAGCCGAACTGGTGTGGCTGTGTCTGTTTTTGAGGATCCTTTTTTGGGGTTGGTATTGGTTTGAAGGAAAACCCACCCATTTGGGGGGGGGTGGCAAGCCAAACACAGGGTGCCCTTTCTGCCAGCACAGGAGGGCATGGGCATATGATTCCCCACAACTGTAATTTGGGCATGTGGTTTGATAGCACCATCAGTTGATCATTTGGTGTCCTCAGTCTCATTGCAGTAGCTCTTTCTGCCTCAGCACGGTAGCGTTCTTGTCGTCAGGCAATGTTGAGAATTGGCCAGCTGTTTTCTTGCTGCTTTTCAGCAGGGCATGAGGGAATCACCCCTGTAAACCATCCTCTATGGTTTCCTTTCAGGAAAACCCCTTCCGGCTCATTCCCAACACCCTGGGCAATTCCCTACTCAGCACCAGCATTTGCTTCGCTCGCTTTGCGCGATGTTGATGTGTTGCCTTTGAATGCTGTGCTTGGACTTGGGGAATTGGCTTGTGACACAGTTCTTTGTGTTTGTAGATATGCGTATTTGTCAATTCCACAAGTCCCAACATCTCCGGTTCCGCTGAATAGTTCGAACATGTTTATATATAGTACTGCAATTGGTCAGATGGAGTAATGAATGTTGTGTACCAAGTACAAGCAGCATGACAAAGCTCTCAGTTGGTAAGCGATTGATTGACTTTGCTACTACTCTCACGTCCACTAATGTGGAACCCACACGAGGGCCCTTTTCAAAGGAAAAGAGTCTTCCAGCACGCCCCAGTCAGGTTCCGTATTGTAGGATGGGAGGGCATGTCTTCTTCTTTGATGTTGCAGGGCACGTCTTCCACAGAAAGCATGCCCAGTTACAGCGAGCACACCTGGGGGGTAAAACCAGCTCGCCCAACATTTGAAGACCCCTTACCTGGAACACGTCTGATGTCCGGACAGTCTTTGGCATTTGGCAAGTGATGCATGTTCCCCTGGTTTCCCTCAAGGCTCAAGGTTTCCCATTCCAAAGATAGCCTCAAAGAAAGTCCCCTTTTTAACCCCATGGTTTTCCCCGGCTCCCAAACGCAGTCGAGCCCTCGAGACAGGAGCTTTGCGCCCGGGTGGAAGTGGCCACTCGCCCGGAAGTCCAGGCGGCACGCCACACCTCGCGCAGGGGCTACCGCAACGACAAGGAACCGGCACCGCTTTGAGACCGGAATCCCAAAGAGGACCTCCCCTTTTTGGTCCATGGCCACCTTTCAAAATTCAGTCTAATCAGAAAAAGAACAGGAGTGAATTGAAACTGAGACCCAAAATAGACCTTCCAGTGGACACTGCAATGTGAAAGCCATTACATTTCTCGCGGCAAAAGCGCTTCCGAATTGGTCGAAGGAAGATATGAAAGGTAGCATGCCCTGCGCGCCACAATGGAAAGGCTGCAAAGCGTGATAGATGTGGCTGACGCCCGAAGCCAACAGTCTGATGATGAGAGCAAAATGATGCCGGCAGATTAATCAGTGAATATACCAGCAGGGTTCATATATGTCAGTATACATTAAGCCTTTGGACAAAACCGTGGCAAAAGAAGGAAAGACGAATGCAAGAGAGATCAACAGGAGAAGTAAGATGTGACAGGACAAACAAAGGCAAGATGACAATGTGTCGCAGCACACCAAACATGTTCAAAGCGTATTTTTCCTCCCGCTGGTACAGGTTTTGGGTGCCATGAATCTTCTGGGCGGGTCTCTGGGCAAAAGGCAGCCGCACCAAAGGAAGGACCCTGGGTAGCAAGTGGGTGTTATTCATCAGAAGTTCCTAACCAGAGTTTCTTGGACTGTGCCGGCGCGCGACGCGACTCCATAAAGAGATGTTAAATCAACGCCTGCCTCTCACTGCAGAACCCATTCCCAGTGGTTGGGACCAAGACTTTACAGAAGTTTCCGTAACAACTCAAAGATCGACAAGTGAGCGCACTCCCAACAACATCCAGGAGGATGGGCTGCCAAAGCCTGGCATGGTCCACTTGCATTGGAATAAGAATATTTCTGGGCTTGTCTCAACGTGGGAGCCATAACATGGTTGGTTTCATTTTGGCCCTTTGAATCCAGCCAGGGTGTCCCAAAAAGATGCAGCCAAATATGCTTTGCATTTCCCTTTTCTGCTTGCACTCCTCTCCAACAATCATCAAAGCTGACCAGGGGGGTTTAGAGGACTTTCCTTTCAGGGGAAGCCTGGGGCTCCTGGTCCACTTCCATTGAATTCTCCTTGGTCTCCCTTCAAGATTTCAACCAACCCGAGATCTTGTTTTAAGGGGGTGTTCTCAAAGAAACGAACCCTTTCCCCCCCCCCGCCCACGTCCGACTCTGTGTTTTGTTCATCGATTCTTCTTCAGGGCGTCTCTACCCGGTTTATAACAGTTATAGTGTCTGCAAGCCTTGGTACCCAGGTAAGCAACACTGAATTCTCAGCAGAATTCACGTCAAGGTCCACCAAATCCGAAACATCCAGTTTGGTATCCCAGAGATTGGTCAAATGAATTTTCTTGGTCAAAATCTGCATATGCTTGTCTATCCATGGGAGGGAAGAACCCTAAATTTCCCGCAAAGACCAGAGGACGAGCCCTGATGTCCCATGTCCTTTGAAAGCCTGCATGGGTGTCTTCTTTGGGAATGAAAGGGAAAACAAAAGGAAACACGAAGCCATTTTGGGTGGCCAAATGGTCCAAAACTGGATGACCCAAATCCAAGCGCCATGGCGGCTCGGCCCAAACGTACATTGCCAAACCTCGCTCCCCACCCTGAACTTGCTTGTTCCAAGTCCCATTTTGACACCCATACAAACCTTTAGAAACCTCTAGAGCCAACAATCGGTGAAACGATCGCAGGAGCAGTTCCTCCACAACGACTCCTCCATCCCCGCGAAGCGCGGCGAAGGCGTTTGCGACCTGCTGGCCATGTTGTGCTTCCGCCCTGCGAAGCGTGGCGGCAGGAGTGGGTTCAACCGGTCTGAAGCATTCAACAAAAGTCCCTATCTTTGAGTGTGTCTTCTTTTTGGGGGTACCCGTTTTTGGGTTGGTTAAGAGGGCAACCAACAGGAAGCTCGGGGTAATTTGAGAGACATGCATGTCAGTCCCTTTGTGGTGTATTTTCCCTTGGGAAGGGTGATGTGTTTAGAGGAGGAAACCTAGGGAGCCTTGTTTTTTTTTCTTTTCTGAAAATGGGGAACCCCTTTTAGTTGGGAAACCAAAAGGCAACCAGGCAAAGGATTCTCTTTTTGGAGAAGCACCCATTTTGTTTGAACAGTGTGGATTTCCTTTAAGGGCCAATGTTGCTCAAGCATTGTTTTCACCCCTTGTAAACGAATGGGACCAAGGTGAAAAACAACCAATGGGGAGCTGTCATTCTTCGCATGATTCTTGTTTGAACTGTGGTTGATACCAAGATTGTTGGAACATGCAACCAATATTACTCAAATGACTCCTTTTGGTTGCCCTTTAAAGGACTTTGGCAGTGGTCCGTTCTGGATCCAGTTTGCCCAAACGCGAGGACCAAAATGGCCGCCGCCAGCGCGATACACGAAGTGCTGCAGAAAGATCCGGAGGTGCTCCTCGTCAAGTGCTTCACTTTTGCTATTTGATTGGAGCTTCAACTTGCCAAAGCCTAAAGCCGACCATTTGACGTGCATGGCCCCAAATGCTTAGCCATGTGTGCAGGTTCTGGCTGAGTTAAACTTTGACTTGGGAAAGTCTGGACTTTCAAGAAAACTGTTAAACTTTAAGAACTCTGGTTCATTGATGGCTGCCCCCGTTCAGCGATGTTGCTTCCGTTTGGCCGGGCAGCTTGATTGGTTCCCTGTCGACATGATCCAAGAAGGGAACCCTTGTTCGACTAAGAGATCCCTGAGCTGTTCCTTGGCACAAAATGCTGTCCTGCTCTATTCTTTAGTGCGTCAGGCACTCTGGGATCGTATCAGTATGTTTTCGGCCATTTGGGTGGCCGAAAATTCCACCGCCCGTGTTTGAAGTGTTTACCTGGCTGAGGCTGGAAGCCCTTCGGCAGCCTCTGAAGTACGCTGCCACGGTGGAGTACCATCCTGATTGGCGCCGACCAGACGCTGGAGAAGCTCCACTTGTCTTTGCAGATGCAGCAGGTCGGCCTTGCATTCAGTACGTCACTTGGTGAAGAAGCGGAATCACTCATTGTCAACGATGGGACACAGGAACCCCACCCGAGTTTCCCATTAGCAAAGAAGGTTAAGCCCACGCAAACGAAACAGAGATTTCCTCTTGGGGAAACCTTCCTAATTTTGGCCAAAACTCGCGTTTGCTTCCGAAAGGTTCAATCAAAAGAGCGCCCCTTTGAGACGAAGCTTGAGGCAGTCAATAGAACAGGCCCTTTGAAGCATGGCAATAATTTCACTGATTCCATGGCTTGCATTTCTGGTGTGATAGGGAATGGAATGAACCCAGGGATTCCCGAATAAAGGAAACCACCAGTTGGATGGTTTCGGGTGGTTCCAACTCATCTGCCTATGGCACCAGCAAGCTTAGGTGTCACCATTGCCACAAGGCTTACCTTCGTAGCTTTTGCCGAATGTTCCTTGGCTTCCTCCCTCAAAGATGACCTTTGGCAGTCTAAGTCCAAGAACATGGTGGAGACCATCTCAGCAGCTTACGCAGACTCCAGCGCATTGGAGAAGGTGAGGGCTGCGTTGACCCGCTTGCAGGAAGTCTGTAGCAATCCATCGGTCGTGTGCCTTGCTTGCAACTTTGACCCGGGCTCAAGCTGATTTTGGCCATTTGACAATGGTTCAGGCGGGGGCCCAAGTGAGATTGTGTTCAGATCTCATTGGCGTCTATGCCAGAAATGGTGTGCAGCACCATGTATCGCGACGTGCGTGTCCCTTCTCCAGCCAGGCAAGTAAGTTACAATTACGAAGTTCTTTGATTTCGCAAACATGACCTCAAACATCCAATGGTTCCCTCCTACCGTTCGGGTCACGGATTCACCTTAGGCAGCACTGGGACTTGGAGGCAGGCGAGGCCTACCTGGTGGACAACTACCGCTGGCTGCACGCGCGGACCCACTTCGAGGACGATGCAAGTCGGCGGCTCTTCTTTCGAATCTGGCTGCAGGTGCCTGACTTCGAACAAAGATTTTGCCTGCTGCGTGATTGGAGAGTTATATATGCAACATGTGTGGAAGTTGGTGTTGTTGCCTGATGTATGGTTGATTCGTAGCTTGAGCTAGCATGTTTCTTTTGCAAACAGATGCGTGCTGCATGGTTGTTGAGATATGATAAATTGTACTAGCAAGACTGGATAAGACAAGGGCATTTTTGAAAGGAATGAAGCGCTGCCATTTAGCTGCGGATACGGTTGGCTTCCTAATTTGCTAGAAGGCCATTTGGTCTACAGTTTTTGTTAGCCTAGCTGTCATTATATATTGCTTTCAGTCCTTCATGTGATTGAATTCCATCAGCACTTCTAGGCCCTCTAGGAACGAAACTCCCCCCAAAAAAAAAGTGGCTCGGATTTGTTTGAACTCAGTGGGAGAAAAGCGATACGTCCATGATGACAGTGGGTCTCTTTGTGAGAACGCCTGCGATGAGAGTGGTCAATGAAGAAACGGAGGGTCAAAGTGCATGGCTCACAAGGCTCAGTTGGACGATGTTTTGGTTTGCATAAGCACGTCCCTCTATTGTTGATTTCTGCAAACAGACCCTCCACAAGTGCAGGATCCTGTTGCCAGATTGCATGCTGGCTGGTTGGTGAGTGCAGCTTTCGGCTGAGAGGTACTGATGCTAATTTGTAGGTGATCTCACCATGGTTGCAACTGGAGTCACTGAGGTCAGTCAGCTTGCCATGGGCAAGGAACATCCAAGCAGTTGCAGCTTCGTTTTGCACCTCGATATAGGGGGGCAACCCCTCACATATATCACAATCGTTGGCTTGCACTGGGCATTGACATGCTTACCTTTGCTGACCAACCATGCAACAGAATGCAGAAGACGCACTCATATTTCCCCTTTGGGCTGGGTTTGAGTGTTTTGTTCAACCAGACTTTTATAAACCCCGAAAAGGAAACCAACCCAACAGCAAGACACCACGTCCGTTTCGGACGGCCGAAAAAGCCGCTTCGACATGGCATCCGATTGCATCGACGCTCTGCCCAGAGCCTTGGCTGCAAAAAGTCTTCGCTGAATCGCCCCGACCTGGGTTTAATGAAAGGGCGTTCCCATTGAACCCAAAAAGAGTTACCCTTCCTCCAACTAACATGGCACCTGTGGGGAGGTACCTGGGAGACGAATTTCCTTTTGCAACTGACCCCCTGTCAGTTGCCATGTTAGTGGGAAGGGGGGTAGACCTTATGCTCAGAACCCAACACCCCGGCCAAAGCTGCATGTTTTGTTGAGGCGAAAGGGTACCCTTCAGGTGGAGCCGCCATTTTTGGGAGTGCGCTTTTGACCCACGCGGAATCTTTCCCAAAGTTCGGCGAATGTCATGGTTGCGAGCACCCCAGCCCGCTCCTTTTTTTTATCTCCAGGCCCGCCCGAAGGCCCGCACGATATCCCCTCAAAAAAAAAGAAAAGAAGGAAGACTCTGTCGAGAGGAATTGTTGCTTTGGGGGGACCGCTGTTTGGAGTTCCGTCTGATTTTGCGACCCAACACCTAGGCCCATGCAGCAGTTCCATTCAGACCTGTATGGAGCCACTCTGTAAAACCAAGAGGCAACTTGTTGCTTAGCTACTATACCAGCATCTGGGCTCAGCAGGAAAAGCCTCGTCCAAACCAAGCTCTTTCCTTTTTGAATCCTTAAAGCTGCAGAGCCAGAAGTCAGCTGGTTTTGGGCGCTGCTCTCACGGGTCTTGTCTGAAAAGCTTGACCCAGCGACTGGTGTGGGTTATCTTTGTTTATTTGAAGGGCGAGCAATTATTGAGGGACCGTGTCAAGCTACGTTTTAACGTGCCTGATATTCACACAATTCACAACACTTGCAACACGTAAAGATGAACAAGCTGTCAACAAGCAACAACGGTTTTCGGGCGTAGCTAAATTTCCCCACCATTGTTTTGGCCTACCGCGATAGCCCTTTTTTGCGGAAATGAGGGGTTTGACCCAATTTTCCCGTGTCAGGCCTTTGGCCACCTCAAGCTGGTAATGGATTAGATGGTAATGGAAATCGAGGAGGGAATACGGCTGCAGTTGGTGCAGATAAAGGAGCAAGAGGAGCACAACGTGCAAAAGGTCATCCAGATTTTGGTATAAAAGGTGCTCAAGGACCAATTGGTGATAAAGAATTCAAAGGTGATAAAGGTTCACCGGGATTAATGTAAGGCAGCCCCGTCCCTTTCGATTGGACAAGACTTCACCTGCGTGTACCTCCGATGAACCCCATTGCCATTTTCCTCCAACCACCCTTTTGGTCAACGTAGATGGCAACTTGTCACCTAACACAGGATTGCTTCGAACCGTATGACCAAATCAAAAGGGTAGAAAATTGGTGCTGGGATGTCCTTTTGCTGCCTAAATGTCTAAAATTAGAGTCATTGGAGCAGCCATGTGACACGCATGTAATTGATTGGTTTGGACAGGACATTCCTCCACCAAAAAAATGTTTAGAGGGAAATATAGGAAGTCATGGCCCCAATGTTTGCATTTTCACATAACTCGTTTTAAATTGCACACCTCTCATTTCACAATAAGGGAACCTGGCCACAGCCTTGGTCGGAAATCGGTTGTGTTCTCTCGGGAGGGCCAGTTCAAAACCTGGTCCCAATACGTGCAGCAAGCTTGCCCTTTGGTGTTTTTAGTTTGGGTTTCAGGCCTCATTTGACAGTGTTTCTTCTGGCTTGGGGACTTCCAAAACTGGGGTCACCCTTCGCTTGATTGTGTTTAACAAGCCCAAGGCAACCGAGAGCACACTTTGGAGTAGACCCTTTCCCCAGTTTCCAGCTACAGCTTCACTTTTGCATATCAAAAATAGGCGGACCCCAACTCAAAGAGATATATATATATATATATATATATATATATATATATACGCCCACACACACACACACACACGTGGGCGTGGTTTTGGGGTCGACTCGTTGACTCGCTCAGAGAAGAACTTCGCGGCCCGAGGCTTCGAGCGCGCCTCGACGGCGCGGAGCAGCTCTGCCTCTGCCTCGACGCCCCGAGGCGCCGGAGAGCGCACGGCGACTCCGTGGCGCGGCTCCGGACGTGGCTCCTGCAGCGAAGTGTGAATTCTCCCACGTTAGGTGTTGTTTTTGGGCAGGGGAGCTAGAGCCACCCAGCCTTCTCAGGTTATTCCCTAAGAAAGTGGGTGCGCTTTTGAGTCTCTTCAAAGGCTCGAGCAAATTCCATCCATATACCTCCCTCCCACGTTGCCATGGTTCTCCAAACGGTTGGTGTTGTTTCGTTTTCTCGCGTAACACATCCCAAAAGGTCCCAAATGTTGGTTGACACTCCCATTCAACGTTCTTAGAGCCAGCTGCCAAGAGGAGAGAAAGCCAACCTCCCTGCCTGCTTGCTCCTGCAGACGAACAAGATTTGTGTTTTTTTTCTCCGGAAAGGGCGTGCCTTGTTTGGGGTTACGAAGCGTGGAAGAACGCGCAGAAAACCAGCACGATTCCGATTCCAGGTTCCCTTGCTGGTTTCCCTTTGAAACAGTCCCACAAAAGAGGGTACGCTCCAAAGTCCTTTTCCCTTTTGTTTGGGGGCAGACCAACCCCAAAAAGGCTTCCCTTCTCGCAGGGTCACTGGACTGCACAGTTGCAGGAAGGAGCACTCCCGGATGCGTTTCTATGTTCGGCAGACTAGACAACCAGAACCTGAACATCTGTTATCTTTGTGCACACGCATGTGTTTCAGGCAACCCTGTGGTAGTTTGGTGGCTACTCGGTTCGCGACCTCTTGGAAAACCCACCCTCCAGGCGCCTTTGGCACGCCGAGGGGCCACGAGCGCCTGATGTTGAGGGAGCGCGACCGGAAAAGCTGCGCCCGGGACCCCGGGTGCCCTCGCGGCTTCGGTGGGCGCTTGTGTCCACAAAATTCAGAGAGAGGTTGAGCCCAGATGACAACCCTGAATATCGGGCTACCTGGACCTGTACCAAAAAAAAAGAAAAACGGGGTAGATTGAAGCTTTCGCAAGCTCCCAAGGGAAGAGCTAAGGAGTTGTGCCCCCGTTTCTTTATGTCCTGCTTCAGGGCCACGCGAACATCAAGTTCGCCAAACGTTCATTCATTAGAATTGGTACAAGCGGTCCTTTGGTTTTCTTTTGGGTTCAAAAGGGAGACTCTCTGAGGGCGAGGAGAAAAGCGTCGAGGGGGGTGGGAGCAATTCAGTTTCCCACCATGTTGGCTGACATTTAGTCAAGGTTCCAAAAGGGACGGACCTTTTATTTCCAGGTTCTTTGGGTAACTGAGAAAAAAAATAAACTGCTCTTTCCAGCTCCTTTCACGATCCGAATTGGTAAAGCTTGATTTCCAGGTTCTACGCTGATCCCAAAAGATAAATTGTTGATATCCACGACCTTGGTTGCGAGTAATTCATAGCATCCTTCGAGTTTGAGGGAACCAATATCCTCCCGGTCGTCGCCGGGTCCGCAATGTCATTCCGGTCCAGTGAACCAGACGGCAGCCTGAGAGATGAACAGGAGGTGCCCCCGAAAGATTTGGCGTAGTGGCTGTTGGGTCAAACAAGTCTAACCCCGAATTCCAAGTCCCATGATCCAGATCTCCAAAAACCAGCGCCTCAAACCACCCAATATCTCCCATCTAGCCAATCCCAAACGGATGTGCGCCTTCATCTAGGGCACCCGCCGGCCTTCTCCCACTTGTGCGTGTTTTCTTGGTTGACAACGGGAGCCCAAAGGGAAACCATCCGATGTCCGCATTTGGGTCTGACTTATCCAGGACTCGCCGAAATTGTGTGGTTTTCCTTTGGGGTTTGCGCTGTCCGAAAAGTCGTTTGCCCTCAAAAGACACACCAGGTAGCGCCCTGCAAGCAAGCTTGCCATGTAAGCCGCGTCCAAAGCTGGGGTCTAAGAACCTATTGTATACTTCAAGGTTGACAGAAAAAGCAGAAGCAAGAAGCAGTTGTTTGCTGTATCCCAGAGTTGGGTCAAGGAAGGTGTCCTAGAAGAACTATGACCACAGTGCAGGCTGAGGTGCCGCGCTTGCGCCTGGAGAGCGATCGCAGCAGCTCTTCCGGATTCACGTCCAGGAGCCGTGACTTTTCTCACTGCCCCGCACTTTTGGGTACAACCCTTTCAGTGGCAGAAAGTTCAGACCTTTTGGGCCAAGCTCAGGAAGTGAGTTTTAGAAGACAACCCGGACCAAGCCATGGCAGTTGTTTGGGCACCTTTGATTAGATGTTGCTGGTATTTCTCAAAGGAAACGGTTCCATATGTTTTCCTTTGGGTTGCCCTTCAAGCCCAGTATTGCCCAATTTTGAGTCAGTGTTTTGGGGTACGGTCAGAAGCGCAGTCGCTTGGGTTGTTTTTGGGAGATCTGCCCAGGGTGTCTTAGGTTGATTCACAGGGCGACCAACAGCAGAAGTTTGGGGTGTCCCTCGGATGTTCAAACGAACCCTTCGGAAGGGGTGTTTCGTTTTCTATCAAGGCAAAACGGACTCGGACTCTGACTCCTGGCCAGGCATTACAGGAACCTAGGCTGGGGACAAGCGTTCCAGCGTGACAGTTTGATGTTGCCATTGCTAGAGTTCAGTCTGTCTGGTGCTTGCTGTTTGAGTTGGAGACGCAATGACTCATCACGTGACGCGGGTTCTCGTGTAGAACGCTGGAGCATCCGTTGTTTCCTTTTCCAGGGGTCAAATGTAAACCAGGATCCAATGCGAGCAAGCCCTGTTGATCTTGCATTTCCAGCTCCTTGGGCAAGGGATTGCAGAAAGGTTCCCTTTGGCAGACCCCTTCAACTGCTTCAAATGAATGGACTCCAGCTTGCGCCTGAGACGGACGCCCCACTTTTGTTAGACCCCATCCAACGGGTCAACTTTGTCTTGAGATGCGCCAGGAGTGAGCTGGAGCCTCCCCCACAGAGTCGGGAGGTGCAGGAGACACCGAAAGTCACTGGAATCATGTGGGTATGGGTCAAAATAAAACCACCAGGGGACCAGGTTTTGGTTCATGTTTCCACTTACCAGTGTTCCATTTGGGGTACATATTTTTGACCCACAGCCATGTGTTAGGACTGGAGGGAGCATTTTGAGGGGTCAAGATTCCTTTTGGGCCGTTGTTCTTGAAGCGGACACGGAAAAGCTGGGACGTTGACAAAATTGGGAGATGCTCCGTTGAGGTCTCAAAGTTCTCCGTTGTGTCCCTTTGAATCAGAATTTCTGGACCCTTTCCAGGGATCCTTCCCTTCAAATCGGCCAATCCCCGAACATGGCTTTTACAGAGAATGGGTGGCGTTTTCCCGCGACGTCTGGGCTACCCTGCAGATTAACATGCAAAACCCAAAAGCATCCGTGTTAAGAAGACCCTTCAAAAAAGGGGGACACCTGTTTGAGTTCTTTGAGAAGTATGTGAATTTGATTTGTCCATTCAACCCCTCACTATTGCTCAAAGAGGACACCCAAACCGGAGATCGGTGACGATGAGTTCATTTCGATGGGTTTTAGCAGGGCCTCGTGTTTATGTCAAGAGAGGCATTTTGCCATTTGGGCACCTGTTGCTTAAGAGAATATGGTATCCAAGGGTTTTGACCCCGGCAGGTTTGCGTTCACACGGCTTAACAGACACGTTGGGCTGAATTCCAATGAGACCAATATCCAAACCACAGTTGAATACATTGGGTTCTAGCAGCAGAGACCGACCTTTCAGCACCCAGAATACAGACACAGGTAAGGGCATGGATTTCTGCTGTTAGATCTAAGTTCAACTATTCGCTGGGCTGTTCAACATCAATCCTAGTGGTTTCCCTTATTGTAGTAGCGTCCTACGACGGATTTCTGATTAGGATAAGGATTGGGGACCTCCCGTCCCATTTTGAGACATCCAATTAAGTTGTAAACACCTCGCGATGCCCGCCTCGGCCAGCATGCTTTTGGCTGGCTTTCAGGCGTGACAGTACTGTGTGTTGGTTTGCTTGAAGTGGTGTGTCGTTTGAGTGTAAACTGGTTCCCAAGATATATGCTGGGTTCGGGGAGCAATTTGGTTGGGGCAATTTGACCGATATCTAAAGGAATGGTTTCTAGGGTAGATTTGACCACATTTTAGAGCAGTTTTGACAAGTTTCTAGGAGGCGTTGGACCAGTTTGGACAGAGGAGTTTGGGAAAGTTGTGTCCGGCTGCTTTTCACACGGTCACGGATGCCTCGAGATCCCGAAACAGTCTGAGGGCGCTTCCCGGCCTTGGGCCCGGCGAATTTTGCCTCTTTTGTGCCATGTGTGCAGAAACAGAACGAGCCCCAGATGAAACCGGTGGGTTCCAATTCACAGGGGTGCCTCGCAGGACCTGTGCCGCGAAATGGAGGCCATGCGCACCTCGGCTGAGGAAAAGACCCCGGCCAAACCAACCGGGGAGGGAGGGGGGGAGGGGGGAAGGGGGGTCTGGGAAAGTATAGGGTCCAAGGATGTTTTTGTTTGTGGCCAGCTTGGTTTGGATTGCCTTGGGTTCTTCCCTTTGGTTGAGCTGGATTGGTTGATTGGTTGTTGTTGGTGCTTGATGTTGGTGGTTTTGGCGGCTCTTGCTGCTGCTGCCACCGCTGCTGCTGCTTTTGGCGGTTGTGGTGGTTCTGGTTGTTGGTGGTGATGGATGTCCCAGTGAGTCTTTGGGATCCAAGGCGTTGGATTGCGGGGTACATGGAATCGAGGCCATGTGATCCAGAAGGACCTGGCGGAGATGCAGGGCACCTGGGTCCAGCTCAAAGAGGCGCGACTTGAATGTGTTGTCGCGTGCTTTTCTTTCATGCTGAGCTTAATGGGCGCAAGAGTGAGAAGGGCTACAATAGAAAAGGGACTAACTCCAGTTCTGCCGGTCAAAGATGGCTCCACTTGCTGCTTAGTGGGGTTATGGCAAGCTCCACATCAGCATTGATGACCAACGTTAGTAGAAAACGAGTTTGTTTCGGGCGCTGCTAATTTGGCCGTGGATGAAACATCGAGTACACCAAAACCTTCCGTTTCTGAAAAGAAAACAACATGTGGTCCTTTGCATCCTTCAGCCACATAGCAGAAGCCAGTGTTTCGTGTTGGACTGGCAGTGCCCCGTGCAAGGCTCTTTAAGAAACCTCAGGTCAACGAGCATCCCATGTTCGGGGTTCCTCACACAAGGTTCATCATAGATTGTTGCTGCTTGCTGATGTTTAGCTGCATTCTTGAAGCCTCACGAAACATGTTCCTAGGCTCCTGTGTTTGTGTGTTTGTGGCTTTGTTTGCGAAGCTTCTTTGAAGGTTCTTTGTGTCTACATAGCCTCAAAACAAGTGTTGACAGATGTGGAACTAGGGACCCCAATAGGTATCCTGTCTTTCAAGCAGTAGACATGAAGCACGGGCACACGAACACACTCCACCGGGCGAGAATTGTGGCACAGCAGCCGTGTGAATAGAACTGCGAGTGTTGCCTACATACATTTCTGCTTTGGGTATTGTTTCACGAAGGTATGCACATATCTAGATTTTTCCATATAGAGATATACGCACATTTGCAAGCATGGCCCGAGTTCCGGCTTGCTCCTTTTTGGTTCCTCGCTCTCAGTCCCTTTCGGTCCTTTCGGCACTTGTCCAAGTGGGCCCCCCCCCTTTCCCCTGCAATTTCCTCATAAATCTGCATAGCTCATGCATTGCATTTGTGAGGGTTGAGTCTTGGTTTAATGTAGTTTTACGAGTATTTGTTTAATATTGATTTGGCATTGGTTCCAAAGAGCCCAGAATGCGGCTGGATTTGGGGTGGCGGACAAGTTCGCAAGAGAAATGGATAGCTGAGTATTGGCAACTTAGAGCTTGTGGATTGAAAATGACGTATTGACTGCAATGTTGGGGAAATGTCTCAATGGGGGACGTTTATTGGGGGTAAGGGACTATAGCCATAGGCGTTTGCCGAAATGCGCCCAGGCGGTGGCAGCGGCTGGAGGCAACTGGGGCTGCCGGGGAGTCCCTTTACAAACGGTGTTGGTCTTTGGTTTTTGGTGGGAAGGAGGGAGGTATGTACTGCTTTGTTGGGGAATGTTTGCTCCCGTATAGGTTCCCAAATGGAAGGGATCCGATGTTTTGTTCAGGCAGAGCTCAAATGCATGGTTCCCTTCGCGGTCAATTTCTACGTTGTGCGTGTTTTCTTTGCGTTCTTCTCAGTAGTTGTTGTTTGTGGTTCGGGTGTTCCTTTCATTTTCGCTTTCGTGTGTGTGTGTGTCATCATTTGGTTTTCTTGCGCATGTCCTGTGGCACCCAAGTCGAGGCACTTGCCGCGAGCGCGTTCTGCGGCGCCAGGCGGGGAAGCGGGGATGGGGTCCCAAAAGTAGAAGGCCGTGTGAGAAAGAACAAAAAAAACTAGACACCGATTATCCCGAAAGCGTGTATGAGAAAGGTGATGCAATAATGTTGGGGTATATCTATGATGTTATATATATATACTTTAGAGCCTCCGGCTCAGTCCGCCGACATTGTCCTCTCCCTTTTCTCCTGCTTCCTCTCTCCCTTGTCTCCCTGGTGTGTTCTGTCGTCCTCTCTCCCTCCCTCCGCTCCCCATCCTCCCCATCCCCCCAAGCCACTCTCTCCCCAATCTCCCTCTCTCGTATGTATGTATGTATGCATGCATGTATATATGTGCGTATG